TGATTAATAATTCAAATTTTATTTGAATGAGCTCAGTTACTGATCATATTATTATAAAGTATCATTCAATCATCATTACCACCGTCATCATCACAAGCATCATTATTATTTATCATCATAATAATATTATTATGCCTATTTTATTAGGCATATTAATATCATTATCCTAAGAACTATAGGGTTATTTTCATTTCCACAGCAGATTTCTAATTCCAGTGATGTATTATGACGTGTGAGGGGAAGCAGTTTTAATTTAAATTTCTGCGTCATCAATTTGAAAACAATTAATATGGCCTGTCTATTTTTAAATAATTCTATTTTATCTCTAATTCTTTTAATCGGTAGACCACATCCGATTAGATTAAAACTATCTTCCATAGGCCTATATAAAATCGTTATTTTTCTATCATGTTGACGTTTGGTGAGACTTTTTAATACCTTGTTCAGCGAACTTATTTTTTAAAGATCGTTAGAATATAAAAATAAAATGTTGCCTTCTTTATTTAGCAAATGGTTTTATCCGGGCGGAGGAGAAAATAAAAATAAATTGTATTGATGAATGTAAACAGTGTAGTGATGAGAAGGTTAAATGCTTTTAATATATCATAGTTAAGAAGAAATTCTATTTTGTTCATCTATTTTCAGGGGAGTGGAGGGGCGTAATAAAATTAAAGAATGTGCGCCAACTGACCAATAAACACAATTATATTTTTATTTAAAATAAAATTGGTGGGAGGGTTCGCTAAACAAGGTATACAGCAAAGTCTTGCCTTCTCACGGAGGCCTATAATGGATGCGATGATACGGTGTAGTAAATTTCCACTCACGATAGCATATTGATAGTGATAATCTAACTGAAAGACAGTTTGTAAAAATGGCCTTAAGAAACGTGAAATTAATAGCTGAGGTAGAGTACTACAGTAGACATAGTGACGACGATACACAACTCTGGGCTGTCTGTGTACTTATTAATCGCTTCAGGATTACGTCATTTAATATTTTGTAGAGATTCATAAACCGCAAAAGACGATGAATTAAACAAAAAATTTCATTGAAAGAAACCCTATTGCAATCTAGAGTACAGGGGCGGATTTAAGGGGGTGGGGACGGCCCTGGTTATTTTTGGGCGTGTAGAACACACACACACACACACACACAAAAATCAGCGGGGGAATGACCCAAACCACCTAGGGTAGTGTTAGCTCGAATGGCCCCACTTTCGGACATTGTCTCTGGATCCGCCCCTGTAGAAATAAGGTTGGTGCGCCCAGGGAACAGTGACATTTCACTGATTCCCTGGTGCACCCACATATTATACCTTTGAAAATATAAAAATCCTGAATTATCTAATATGCGGTTCGCTGCCTGTGACCGCGTACGCCGCGCACCAGGTGCCCGAATACTAAATTTTAGGGACTGAATTTTACTTTGTAAATTTTAAGTTTCAAATATCAAGATCATATAAATTTAGGCCTACTCATCATCATAATCTGCATCGACACATCGTCCTCAAATCGTAATCATTATTATTCAAATTACAGTATTACAATTTGTCATCTACATAGCATAAACAGTGCGTTTGTGAGACACCACGAGTGCTTTTGTGGGACGTATTCCTGGCTCTGCTACCGGTACTGATTTATTATTAGTACCATATGGTGTCACCAACTCTTACAGTAAATGAAAAATCAAATACTAATAATAAATTAAGGTAATGATGATTATTCCATAGGATTTCAATAATTATAATAGTTGGCATCACTGCTAATATTTGGAGTCGCCTGGCCGAATCCACCAGCAGTGGGCCTAAATAGCAGCCGACGAGTAAGCCTCGCTACACTTCAATTTTCACTTTCCAACGTGTATTAATTGATATAGTTTTATCACAGGAAACTCATTGAGTTCATGATTCACTTAGGAAACTGCTAGTAATCGTTGTTACTGCATATGGGCACAGGTTTAACGTTGTAAAAATTTTTAACTTCGTGATTATCATGTTTTTCTCTCTTTTTTTGAATGCAGGGCAAAGCAAGCCTATATTTTTTCATTCGGTGACGATTCCAATTGGATTTATCTCCTCTCAAAACAATCAGGTAAAATATCCAAATGAGATTACGCACTTCTAACAGCCAATCATGTCTCTCCTTCGCAACACGTAGAATTTATAGTAGTAGCCCAAATTAAGGGAAACAAAATAGGCGAACACTATGTAACTATTTCTCATCGATAACTGATATCAGGCGCAGATCCAGTCGAGGGGCATGGGGGAACGTGCCCCTCCGTTTTGCCACTAACTATTTAAAAATTACAATGCATATCAATGTTTATGTGCTCTATTTTCTCTATGCTCTAACTCATCTATTCTGAAACTGCTGTCTCCCCCTCCCCCCTCCATCCCACCCCGTTTGAAAAATTCTGGATCCGCTCCTAGCTATACTGCGTTGATTACCGTATCAGATACCGTGAAATGACCGACATACTACAATTATAGTATGGGAATGTACCGTGACGCGGGTTCGTTACCAAAATTGGCACGCACAACGAAACCAAGGATTGTGCTGCCCCGCGTGTTCATACGATCAATCAATCATTCGCGGTTTTTTGCGGAGTGGTATGTTACTGCATCCGGTTATTGATGAACCTTGAAATTAAAGCGTCTAGGTAGTTTTATTAGCAGTTCAATAACCAATGCACTACATCTACGTCTTTATTTCCTTCTCCGTTAAAATGTACACTCATTGCAAATGTGTCATATTGCGTACATTGAATTTAACACAATAATAGTATAACAGTTTCAAGCTTTATCTTATGGACTTGTGAATTGTTACACTAGACTAGATTCTTTTGCATTACCAATTTCCTTCAAATGATTTTTCCCATATCAAAACACTAATTTGATATTCAATTACACCATATCCGTATCCACTTCCAGAACAAACTTAATACAGTATGACCTTTTCAATCCACTGATTCCCAGTCTAATTAATTTGTCTTCCTCTGTCGTGATTTTCATTGTTGTACAGTATATTCTGATCAAAGATAGTAGGCCTATATAGGTTTAAAAACAAAAAACAAAAAAACAAATATCGTTTCACCTTGTACTTACGTTTGATATGGCTTATATATTAATTTATTTGTAGCCGGCCATTCTACATACGTTTTCATCTTAGGACTCGTCCAACTCACTGTATGAAAATATGATAAATGTATGTTTGTTTGATGGATTCGATGTACGTATGCGCCATGTCGCATGCCTATACCACCGACGACAAACGAACCAGCAGGACTCACAACTGGAGTTTTTATTTCCCACGATATTAACACAGAATAAAATGTAATATTGTACCACACCTATGGTTATCTATTCGTTTGTATAAATCCTTGGCCCTGTCGGTTATATTTGTTTGAATTTGTCCGAATTTGTCCACCAACTTTGCAATGAAATGCCTCAACAACATACCATAAATGTTGATTGATTATTATTCGGGTATTACTGTAAGTAATTTCATGTCTTCTCTAAAGAAACATTTCACGTCACACAATTTACATTCGATTGATCCTTACAATATCTCTTACATCATATCAACTCATCGGCAGTGTTACGAAGTTACAACAATATTATGTCTACGTGATTCCAGAAGGCTTGTAAAAAACCTGACGAACATCAGCAAATCGCGCAAATTGCTATAATCTCTTTGGGATTCTCATCTACTACCTGCACACACACTCGGACTGATTAAAAGGCAATCGGCAATATATCTTCATGAAGCACGATGTTCGGGTAATTTAGAGGGTAATTTTAGTTCAATCCGCGAATCTTTGTCACGTTATAATATCTCATTAACGCTTGAGTTTTCCCGTGCGCTGTCGCGAGGCAACCAATCTCTGCTCTGTACCACGCGTCACTAAGCAATCAACACAACGCTACACACGTCAGTATTTATTTTTTAATCATTATTCATCGACAAAACCTGGCTATTGAAACGTAGCCTACAGAGCGAGAACATGGTTATGACGTCACACGTAGCATTCAAATTAAAATACCATGGCAACCGACGTCCATTCGTTGACTTTTTGCAGACAGATACTCACTTCTTTTCTAAATATTCTTTCTTAGTTCATCTACAACTACAGGAAAAGGCATATTCGACCTTCACGCATTTTTTAGTATCTTTTTTTAATCTAAAAAGCACATGTACAGGAAAAAACCCCATTGACAATGAAGGGGTTAATTGGTATTAACATAATAATCACATTATGGATAACGTAAAACTGAAGACTTGATTTCCCATTTGATTCTACTCCAAAATCATTAAAGTAATAAGAATATTCTCTCTAAACTAATTATTTACAAAACAATGCATTTTAAATGTGCAAAGTTAATGAGTCTGCCTAATTAGACAGTAAACTGGAGAAAAGGGATATGATTAACATGCGAGGTCTTTATCTGATCCAACACAGCAATGCAATCTATCTATAATACAATGAATAGTAAGTTTAAAAAAAAAAAAAAAAAAAGAATAGTAAGTTTTTAAAAAAAAAAAAAAAAAAAAAACGAGGATTAAAATACAGTAGTAATGAGACTAAAGAAGGTAATAATTATTAATAATAAAGATAATAAGATAATAAATAATAATTACCAGTAAAATGATAATGGGATGATTAAAAAATAAAATAACAAATGTATAAAAAATAATACACAATAAAAATATTAAGCGCAGACTACACAATTTAAAGAAGTATACAAACCACAAAAAAAAAAAAAAAAAAAAAAACACGGGGTGGGGGGGTTAATTTTACTTTTCCGCATATCAATATTCTTTCCGCACGCATCCTAATAAACCTTGTTTTAACTAAAATATGACAAGAAGTCTTTAAATGAATTACTTAATCATAAATATATTCAGTGATTTAATTAGCAAAAAAAAATTATGTATTATGAATGGAATAACATTATTAAAAGTAGAAATAAAAGAGAAATCTAGAAAATTATGTAGGACAAAGGAATACTTAAACAGTTAAAAAAAAAAAAAAATTCTCCAGGAAGTTGTTAGTCATTAAAATACTAAAAATAAATTATACATCACACATCAACAGTGAATAACTCTATGATGAGAATATACGCTGCAATGTTTAATAAGTAGGAGCAAACGGCATGATTCACTCGAACTTTCCGTGTTTTAGTTTTCAATGCATAAACAAATATACATTTCTCCCTTCTTTAGTCAACACAAAAAAAAAAATAAATGAATAAAAAAAGATAAAAAATCTTCTAAAAGATAGACTGCTAAAGACTAATATACCTGAATATATATACTGTATATATAATTATATAAAATAAAACAGAGCAACTTTATCTTATTCTCACCACTGTATTTATGACTAATTGACCTGATTTTTAAGCTCACATGCACCATGGAGGTATTTATACCTCCATGCATGCATGATTCAACAGCCCTGTACTGATCAATTACTACCTAATATTTAATTATTATTTCAGTGTTTTTGAAAATCTGTGTAAAAGATTTTCAATGAAAAAGAATATTTTCTTATTTCTCAGTGTGTCTGTTCCAGCATCACATCTTTGAGAATGAGACTCGTGGAAGAGATGAATATAATGTTTCTTATAATATCATTTCATCAAGCTAATAATTTTAATCTAAAAACATTTCAAAAATTTACATCAAAATTCGTAACGATTTCATTAAAAACAAAAATTTGCATTCTTTTTTTCATAGGAAATAAAAAAAACCACAAAATCAAAAGATTATTGTACAAACCACTGCTTTGCTAAATGTTCATTCTGATGAAAAATACTATTATATAATACATTTATTATATAATACATTTTATTATATAATATATTTACTATATAATACATTTATTCTATAATACAATCATTTTCTCAAAAATTTATAACAGAGGGGTAAGATAACTGGAATGATGAGCCAATCGGCTCTTTTGCATTCATGTAGATCTGCATCAACACAAACACTGGTTTCTATATTTGAAATGTTCATGCATGCAATCTACATGTGAGCATTTTTCATGCATGCATTCTACATGTGTGCAATAGTTCCAGAAGTCATATCTCAGCCTATAGTATCATCTCTTCCATTTGATTTACACTTAGATACAAGTTAAAAAAATACAGACTTGACTTTTTCCCATTTCTAATCAGAATCTTATAAACTATTCTCTGGCAAAATAAACTGCATGTTTTTGATACAAATGTTCTTATAAAATTTAAAGGCGTCAAGCAGTCCGTTTCGATTCAATTACAGTATATATATTTAACAATCTACATGCTTTCTACATGTATTAAAAGTATTTGTTTAATCATACACCATGACCTATGATGAGGGCGCTGTCTCAAGTACACAGTACATTGATCAATAATCTCATCTATCATTAATATAATGTCTTTATTTTATACACAGCAGAGTATCCATATAAAGCTTTTCAGAAATAATAATTCTTGAACTATTGTAGCAAGAAATTTTAAGACACATATGACCCTTTCCCCAAAATGAACCTTGTTGCTCCAGAAACTAACCATAATTTTCCACAATCATTTTATACATAATATTCACTTGAAAAACATTATTTTGAAATTTATTTGGTATTGATAACATTGTTGAGCATGTGTATCGCTGGTACCGCAAGAGTCCTCCGAATGCGAAATGCAAGTTGGACACACTACGATTTCTAGGCTAGCTCACGTCACATCAAGTTTAAGTGTATTCTTTTTCTCTTATTCCTTTACACCAATGTGCATTGTTTACGTCTTATAAAACCACATGACCACTACTAGTTCTTGGTTGCTGACTGTGCCTACTGGAAACCCAGCTCAGGACCAATGAGCTTCAATACAAGCCAGTGGATCCTATTGAGGAGAGAAATGACACTTGAGGGCTCCAGCCAAGAACTCAACATGCTGTGCAACATGGCTCATTTTGTTGTGGATGGTCAAATTTGACTAGTAACACGTTATATTTTCATTGCGGATTTTTTGGGCTCAGTACGGACTCTAAATGTATGCATTTTCTTTTAGTTTTAAGGCGTATGCGGATTTTATAAGTCCGCAATGACGATATAACATGTTTAGTACGACAACTCAAATATGGATTTAGAACCATTGACCATTTGTACTATAGTTTTAGGGTAAACACGACCCTTGATCTAATTCAAGACTACTGAAATGCTACCTATTGAAATTATTAGTAATTATTTGCTGAATAATTAGACAATATTTATCTACCCATTAACTTCTCTGTTAACTCATATATTATATTTACAATCACAAAGGAATAGTATACAAATCAATGTTCAACTAAATAGAAATAATAATAATAATTACAGAACAAAAACAATAAATTTTATGTACAAAGTACTCAGATAAAAGGAAGAAATTAACTATTAATGCATGTTTAACAATTAATGCATGTTTTAAAAAATCAATTAATGCATGTTTAACAATTAATGCATGTTTAAAAAAATACTTATGAAAATCAGATTTTCAATTCACGCATATTGATTTAGTCTTAAGAAAATATATGTCACAATTTTTCTATTTTTTTTATATTGTCTGAAATTACTGTTTCAGCTTCCTTATATCCACAGCATTATGATCACTGGCACGTATTTTACAGACAAGACACTCAGAGGCACAGTACAGTACTCTGCCACTATAGACTGGAGATGGTTGCTTTGATTTCTCTGTACAAAAAGTTAGTAAACAATTTATGTTTTCCATGGAAGCAGCAGCCAGGAAGTTTTTTCAGTGAATCGCTGTTCGTTGACGAGCCGGTACTTTGACTCGATATCCATCCAAATGCATTTAGTGACATCTTTCAGTGTGTGAGAGCATGCCGAGCGAATTGTATTTTTAGTGTAGAACACATGGTGAACTCAGGCTGTCTTCATCAACACGTCTCCATACTGGTGCTGACCTAAGATGTCTTTCACACACCAACACTCTGCATCTTGAACTCCTTCATATTAACTAGCAAATGAATTAATACTTTATTGACCTGTAAGAACAAAAACAACATATTTAAAAGAAAAAAAACCAATTTTTTTAAAGGAGGAATTTTTATTTTACAATTTACATTTATTTGTATGCTCATTGTTGAAATTACACTCAAATTCACGTAATTAAAATTATCTGAGCTAGTGTTTTTTTTTACAAGACTTGATCTAAAAAATCGTGCAGTCAGTGTAATAATGGTCCGTGGGGAACGGTTAGTTTCCTGATGTCCCATGGTAGCAATTTATCAGTGGGCGTAAATGACTACAAAGGCAAGTATTTCACTTTGTTCATGTAAGATAAGAGAAACTGGGTTTCTCCTTTCCAGGAAACCATCACTGCTTAAGCTACAGGAAGCTGGCTGGCTCAATGGCTGGCTGTCATCTCTCCGGTCCCATGCACTAGCCTAAAGTACACCTGGATCTCATTAAAACCACACACTTTGTATGCAGTTAAAATGCATTCAGGCGTCTTAGCACAATTAGTATACAACATGATATCATTTGTATTGTTTCTTGAAGACGTCAATTTTAATAAGGAGAGATGAAAGTGAAAGGACTTAAGGGAGAACAAGGGTGCTTGGACAAATGGTGACATCGGTAAAGGGGCATGGGTATAAAGGTCAAGGGGCATGGGGATAAAGGTCAAGGAGAGAGAGGCAGACCACAAAGCATGTACAGAAAGTACTAAACTCAAGAATATATTAATCACAAGAAAAAATAAAAAAAATACTGCAAAAAAATCATAAATGCTTGTCATCTAAGCCCAATTTAATTGAAAATCTCTCGGGAAATTATTTCCACTATAAAAAATGATGACTAATACACTAGAAGCTCAGAGCACAAGATGCATGGATGGAATTTCTGAAAGGAAGCAAAGATATTACAATATTCAATAGTTAACAATCTCCCATATTTGCAATATTATATTCAGAAATTTTAATGATTAACATGCTAGTCTAACAAACAGTTTTAATCACCTTATTTAAAACAAATTAAATAACTCCTACTGGACAACTTGTGATGACGAAAGTCTGGTAGAAATTATTTCTTTTTTATATAGTAAGTATGATTAAATCTTACAGTACAAATGTTTATATTGTATTACACTTTTAAAATCAGATAAAGGACTTAATGGAAGTTTTTGTTTGCTAAAAATATTGAATCCTTGATTGCTTAGTCAATAAATATGATACTTTTAGGCTTGGCTTGAGGAAGACACTATTTACATTTGCATAGTGGTATGAGCCTGTAATAAGCCACCTTCTGAGTAGGATTGGCACTGTTGACTGGTAACTTGTGATTCATTGTTTGTTACCCACACTTGCAGTTGGCCCAGGGCCAGTGATAAAGTGTTTCATGAGGATGTTAAAGTGTTATTTTTAGTTGTGGACATTTTAATTAACATTTTTTTTTTGCAGATCATGAAGAAAGAAGATTCAGACTTTTATGCCTGTCACTAAACCAAGCATTAAGTATCTACCCTGAACTTTAAGTGCCTATCCTGAACTAATGTTAGCAGAAAAATTAATGTTAGCGGAAAAATTAAGTATAACGGGAAAAGGACTTTGGCATCTGCAATGATACACTACAGATATACCTTCCAATAAAAGGAAATGACAGAATTGTGGTTGCTTAGAAATTCCAATGATATAAATATGAACGCCATTCTGTTTCCTGTCTTTTTACACCGGTAGTTAATCATACCTTATGGAGGTATTCATCTTCAACATTAAATTCATCTTCCATACTTGTAAATCAAATCTGACATCAAGCAAACTGCTATAGTAGTTCTAAAAAGCTTAGTTGAAGTTTAAATGAAGTAAAATAAACTTTAGATACACTGTATTATTAGTTTTACCAATTTAATTGTGGTTTTGAGCAACAGCACTAATTTCTGTGTAAGTTGTTATACTCTCATTATCATTTCAGTCCAATATATATATTTTTTTAAAGATGTATTGCCCCATGCTAAATACCAAAAAAAATCATCAAAATATTTTTTGAAATTAACTTTTTTTGAAGCAACATAAAAGCAACTTGAACATAGCAATTAATGTATTAAAAAAATGTCTACATATCAGTTTACAGCGAAAAATGATGGAAACACTTCCAGTTACTGGAAGTGTCTTATTACTTTTATTAAATTTTTCTGGTTTAAAAATCACACATTTTTTAAAATTCAATAATTTCTATGCACAAGTTAATAATTTGTATGTTATTGCAAAATGAGCAAGTTGATTTCAAAATTAAATTTTATTATTTTTTGACATTAACAAGGGACAATACATCTTTAATAATAATAGCAAATATAAATAAGTGGCTTAGAAACAACAAATGGCATAAATAATGTCTTTTTTTTTTTTTACGAAAAACATGTTTTAGAATCATGAGATAATCTGGATTTAGTCTCTAGTAACAATATTGCATTTCCAAAGCACGATGATGTTGGAGGAGTCTATGTGGGGTTATTAAAGGGCAATTTAAGTCATACAGTCAAGATACCACAGTAATCTGTATTCAGTCAACAAGGAGGCTTACAATGCATTAGTTAGCAAGTTTTATTCATATTGAACTTATAAAGATATGACGCAGTCGGCACTCAGACCACTGCACCGTATCATGATGGTTCAATTTTTTATTCAATCTTTGTTATGAAAGCATGAGACAGAAAGGCTAGCAATCACGGCCCTAAATGGCTGTGTCGTACTGTTTTCATTGAGAATAATCAGACCAATATCAAACCACTTGACCTATAAGCCAACTTAATAAAATGCAAGTTTTGCCCTTTAAGTGGGTGGGGTCCATTTTGACAATCTCGATGTCACATTTGAATCCCAGTAGATAATAGGTGACAAATATTAAAACATATAAAAGATTCAGTTTAGAAGATGCCTACAATGCCGTACATCTAGTCTAAAACATCATTATTTTAAAAATTACTGAATTTCTAACCTTTTTTCCAAAACCAATGTGGTCTTAGAACGGCGAATAAACAAAAACATTCCTTTATAGAAGTTGCAGATTGCATTGCTGTTGGTTGGGTGTTGAAATATATAACAAATAAAAAATAGCATTCAAACTTTTGTATCCCCCAACTCATTCATTTGAATGCAATTCATAATACCTAGATCATTTATATAATTATTAAGTGTACACATGATAATACCTGAATTAATTAGTTTCGCATCGATATGAGAGTTCATACACCACTTGAATTTCGTTAATATCTTTCCTATGAAATCAATATGAATTGATTTCATTTAAGAAATTTAACAAACTGAAAGTACATTTCACATATGGGTTCAATGCTATTGACTACCTCAGCAGAGGAAGTAGGCTTGAGGTCATCGCCCTTTTAAGTAAAGAAAAAAAAACCTATGGATTATGGATTGTCGCAGAAAGGAAATGAAGTCCAACCCTAGGTTCGCCCTTTGCAGAATGATTATGGAACTAGTGAAGCGTAGCAAATTTCGACAACTATTATCTTTCTTTATAACGGAGGAATGATATGTTAATCATAAACGTGTGACCGTACAACATTAATTATTTCTGCTGCAATATCATAATTTTTTCTGTATTATATACTCGAATAAAATTTATTGAAAGTGAAAATTAACGTACAGTAGTTTTATGCGGAAATTATATAGTAAATCAATAATATTAGAAAACAAATTTTCTAGAGTCAAGAATTTATTTGACTTTACACGTAAAGGTCAGAACTTAATACTATGCAAAAAAAATTTGACCCAAAGTTTAAATTTTGAACTAAATCAATATTAGACATTGGTGTTACCAAGGAAGTATAAACCTTGATCTTACTGTATTAAAATGCATCATGTCTTGCAATCCATTATAACATTGAACTGCCCTTAAATAAATATAAGGACCTGCAAACTGATGGAACATTTATTTAAATTTTTAATAACTTTATAAATATGAAGATAAATTTAGATCATATTACATAAAATATACCTGCAAGTTTACAGTAACAATTCAAATATTTATTTTAGCTTAGCGCAGCATCTTTAAGAGAAATCTAACTCTTGTATAAAATTGTTAAACCAAATTCCAACGTACGTACAAGAATAGTGTAGGAAAATTGATCTTGAAACTGAGTGAGCTAGCCAATCATTAAATCTCTCAGAGTCTTGGGAGTAGTTAATCTATCATTAAAATCCATTACTGCGCATATAATGCAGGAGTATACTGCACTTACTGCTCTTCAAGATGCCATATAACAAGCCATCGTACAGACTCTTCAGCAGTACAATATTCCTACATTCGCAATATTCTGTACTATCTCAGATACTGTACTGTTCAGTCATCAATATATGCGTTGCTAAATACTACATTAAAATATTTACCAGTTTAATCCTAATTTAAACAATAAAATAAGATTTTAGACAATTTATTAACTCTTCTTGACATAAAGAAATGTTTATTTACCCAAAGCAAGCAATTGTAATCTGTCAAACATAAAATTGTAGGCCAACTGACTTTGCTTTACAATGAAAAATAACCATATATTAATATAGAGAATATTGAATTCTACCTTAATAATAATAATAACTGGATTTATATAGCGCTTTACAGTTCATCTCAAAGAGCTTAAATATATTTTAAAAAATAAAAATTCTAGAACATGTGACACATAGATAAAGATCTAAAATTGCAATTGAGAAATCTGGGGTTCGACTCTGAAGCATATCACTTGTTGTTTATCATACTGTCTCCACCCAGGAACATAGTTGGGAGCCTGTTTTAAAGTCAATATGATAATTGCAAGCTTTAACATTATGGTATATTGTGTAGTAGTACTAAAATGAAGGAATCCCCTACAGAGTTGAGTATGTGTTCAGAGGGTATGCGATCCATGACTATGTTAATAAAGTGAAGCGCATACACTTGGTTTTATGTGCGATATAAAAATTACTTTATTATTCATGCCAAACAGAGTGATACAAATTTCAACATTAACAAAAATATGGTTAATATCAAACAC